TAATATATATTATACTACTTCAATTCAAAACGTATATTTGAATTTTATATCAAAATTGATTTTATATATATATTTAATTTATTTAAATAAAATTAACATTTTATTTTTATTAAATTGTAATATATTTATTTATTATTTTCAAAATTTTCACATTTAATTTCATTTAATTTAATTTTTATTTTATTCTATTTATATTTTGTTTATAATTACTTTAGTTTGTGATTATATTATTTTTTATTTGATTAAGTTTTTCTTTGTTCGTGTTGTATTACATATGTGTGTTAGATATGTATTATAGGGGGATGGTGGTAGAGTGGTTTGAAGGCATGTCTAATGTTGTTTTGGCCTGGTTCGAATCCTGGAAGGAGCAACAAAACATTTATTTTTGCCTAATAATGGGTAGAATAGTAAGGGGAAAAATAGTAAACTTCGATTTTAAAATAAAAAATGTTTGAAAAAAATGAATAATTTTCGCATTACATGAATGTGTACACCACGCGCTGTCAAGTTGGACGGAGAGGGGGGAATCGTGCAACAGTTAGTTAATACAAGAGGGTTTGACGCAATTTTTGAAATATCAGGGGAAAACGCGCAGATTTCGTATGATACAAGGGGGTTATGTATATTTTACCCTTTAATTTACTTGGATCAGACCCGGCCCAGAGCGACTTAGGCGATGGCCCAGGGCCCAATTACAAAAGGGGGCCCATATGTGTGTAATCTGTATAGAAAACATATCTATAAAGCTTTATTCCCAAAGTATTAGATACAAGTTACAATCCATAACTACTTGTTTTGCAAGTAGATGTGGCCCAATTCGAAGCCTCTTAGCCCATCTTTCCACAGTTCACACGTATGTCAATTGCAATTAGTGCTATTTAGGTCTTGTTCAAATTATTATACAAACTTCAAAATATTACGAGAATTAAGCTAAAATATTACTCAACTACTAATTGAGACCAAGCTTGTGTTTCTATTTGTGTGCTATATGCCTATACTATTTATTTTGTTTTGTATCCATATCTTCATTTTTATCATCCAGCGGCTCATTAACGAAATAATAATTCAACCACCTGCAAAAATATAACATAAAATGAATGTAAATCAATAAAAACACATTAAAACAATATGTCATTTCAATTATGCACATAATATCAATTCAATCGATCATTTTACTTGTACATAATTTAAAATTTCATGCACCTAATGGTGCCTTTATACTTTATAGTCATGTAATATTGTATTTTTCATTTAAATATTTTATGAAACGAGCCAACTATTTTACTTATATATTTTATGAAGCGAGCCCACCACATATATAGTGTTTTACTTATCGACATGACAATGGGTTACCAGGAATTCGGACTCGGAACTAGTCGGACGGAGATATTTTATGAAGTGAGAACTAATCTATGTGAAGTTATGAGCGCCATTATTTATATAAATTTATGTACATGTAATGCTACTCTAAATAAACTATATTGTGAAAGAGCTAAAATCCTAACATCAATGCACGACCTTATACTTAGATTATTCGATTAACTATGGAGATTCTCATTGCAATATTTCAAAAAACAAAAAGAAAAGTCCCAAAATTTTGTACTTGCTGGATCATTTTCAATGAAATTATATATAAAAAAAAATAAAAAAAAAAAATGTTTCTCGAAGTATTATATTTACTCTCACTGAGATTTATAAAATTTTTTGAGGGGCATTATTTTTATATATAGCCCAGGGCCATATATTTATCAGGACCGGCTCTGACTCTCACACCACCCCATCAATGGCGGACAAACCACCCAACCACAAAATCAAGAACAAAAAGCAAAAGCACCATAAATTCAACAGATTCAGAGAAAAGACAAAAACAAGAGAATAACAAGTGACAGCTCCATCACATGCATTAGCTACCAGTAACTGATTACAAATAGGCACATAAGTCTCAAGTCAAGTCTAAATTCATGGATAACTAACATAATAGATACTACCAACATTCAGATTTATATAAGCATAGGGATAGGTGGACAACTACAACTAAACCTTAAAGTTGACAACAATGTCAATGAGCCGTGATTGGTTTGAACCTCCACTCTCGAAGGACTGGAGAGCCACCAAGTGGGTGGTAGACCGCGGCTTGAATAGTTTTCTCAGAGCCACCATCTTCTTCCTCGGCAGTCAAAGTCATGAATAACACCGAGGCAGCGGTCTCGACAGCCTTCTCGACTTGCACAAGCTTATAACTGTGACTCTGTTGTTGTAATTTGGATTTTTAGTAGACAATAAAAAAATAAGCAAAACAAGGCTAGTATGATGTTCATGATTTGAGGTGATAACATTACAAAGCAAAATATATTAAGGACAGATCAGAAACGCACAGTCTCTTCACTGATTTTCTGAATTGCACACTCAGCTGCTTCGACAACTCTAGCATACCCGAATTTATCAATATCTCTTGTCCCCTTGCGCATCTCTTCCAGTGGAAGTGGTAAGAATGGATTTTCAAACATACGAGGTGGGCAGCAATCCACGTCATAACCCTACAAAAATCACAAGCAGCTCATCATCCATTTCAATCAAACAACAGAGCCTTGCAAGTAGTTTTGATGCTTGTTCACTAATAAAATACACTAGAATTAACAATCATAATATAAGTGACAAATGACAATCAAAAGCAATACTGCTATAGTTCAAAATCAGGATTTTTTACATCAACTCTCAAATTCTGCATCAGCTAACAGCTAATACACACACATCCATGTACCACATAGCAAACAAAGCATAAACCTGATTTGAGAAAAAACAAACAACAAAACAAAACAAAATAAGACAACCCAACATAAAATATATAATTAAACAAAATTAACGAGTATATAAGCCAGATGCAGCAAATCAGAGCGCCCCAAACACATTAAATTAAGGATGAAAAAAAAGGACCCATTAGGCGAGCAAAACCCTAATTATAAACAACCGGATTTCAACAAAAAAAAAAAAAAAACCACCACCACCACCAGTAGAATCAGTACGGGGACAGAGAAGGAGAAGGATTTTAGGGATAGATAGATACCCTGGATTCGCGGACTTGTTTGAGGAATCTCTTGACCAGCTCGATGGTATTGGGCTGAATCTCCTCGCCGTTCTGGTAGAAATAGGATTCAGGGACGTCATAATCCTTCTCTTCGAACCAAAACTTGCGCTTGTACTTTACAAACAATCCCCACCTATCGTCGTCGAGAGTCGGGTCCGTCACCATCGTCTTTGTTACCCTGATGCTTTGGCTCTCTACAAAGTATTAATGCACATTAAATAAGTCCTTGTTAAGATTGGTGAACCACTTCAATTTTTCGGGACATTCTACAAGGAATCTCCATCCTAAACTCACAATTTGAGGTCATTCTAGGAGGATTTTGTATTGTGGACATAGGCATTGAGCTCTTGAAATTAATTTCACACGGAAATGCAAGCAAATCATAACTTGATTAAAAACGCAACAAGCATTCAAACCTTATAATACGGATGATCATAAAGTGGACATAAGCCGTGATAGATTAACCAGAGAATTAACAGCTTTATTGACTAATCATTTAATCATAAAGACCTTATCACCCCTTACCTCCATCAGGTTCATTTGAAGTAACAGCATTGGCATTTCCAATTCCAGGAACTGAAACCTCGCTTACTGGAGACCATGAGCACAAAACAGTATCCAAAATTAAGCAAGATGATCACAGTTTTCAAACACATCGTCAATTATAAAGGGTAAAGAACCAAAGTATAGAATTTAAGTACATTCTAACTGAACTAACATCATTTATTGATAGAAAAAAAAAACCAGTACAGAATTCTTTTATTGAATGGAAAGAAGCATTGTTAAATCACCCACATAAGGGAACCCAGTATGCAGTGGGACTTCTACAAAAAGAGACTTAAGATATCATGAATTAGAGCGAACTAATGAGACAAAAAGAGACTTAAGATATTATGAATTAGAGCGACTATGGT